TTGAGCTTTGCGGCATGTGTATGCAAAATTAAACTGTTTCTCCACTCGGAAAGGTGGACCATATCGGCGTTATGGGTGTTATGCAGTTCCTATTTGAACAAATCAACCGATCGCTCCGTACGGTTTCTCACACGCCAACAGTACCTCAGTGGGGTTCGGATCGATTATTCTCCACTTGTCCTAACTACTGATCGGGTGGTGGAGGCGACCACTATCCATCAGAGTAAACCCCACGACTGCGCCCCGCATCACCAGGAGCGTTTTTTACTGTCAAGTTTTATACATGCATACTTATAGTACATCGTGCCTGGTAACGTCAGGCTTAGGCAAAACAAACGACACTATGGAGACGTGACTTGTCATCTTGCACACGAGTTTGTGCATGGGGAGCCTATGCGTTATTGGTGTGTTCACTTGACTCGTGCGTTATTGACTGTGATCACGGAATCTGATGCGAATTTATACGCGAATACATGACTTGCGGCATAATAGGTATGTTCTGAGACATAGACACGGTCTGAGTGGCTTTGTGGGATCAAGCGAATTTCCATTATACTGTGTTCCCGCCGATTGCTCTCTCCCCTGTGGTGTTCACGTGGAAGGACGCTTGGTGTTCACTTATCCGACTTAGCTGCCGTAACCGGGAACTCCTGACGCCGGAAGGCCAACCGCTGTCATCTGCATGGCAGTAGAGAATGGGTCGGACTATATCGCACTTAGCTAACAATTCATGATGGTCGGCTACCGTCCCCCATGGCTCAATGGCATAAACTACGGGCTAGTTGGCGCAAGTCACTAGCAGTCATGAGTTCGATCTTCGGAAGAGGACCAAAGGCTGCGCACCACTGACGAGCCCCAATAGGGCGAAAAGGCCGTCTGGTGCTTTTCCGGATTGGTAGTTGCGTTATCCGATTTGTCGGCCTATTGCGGCGAACTCAAAATCCGACATCTTTTTTTAAATTGGCCGCACTTTGTTCTTCAACTCCTGGAACTAGGTTGTAAGTCTTATTCCTATTAACTGACTCACGAAGCGATGTTTTCCTTGAAAACTCACGGTAGCCCTCTTTGGATTTACAATCGTACTAGACTCGCCAGGAGGTGCTACTAATACTGGTCTATCTGCTTCATTTGCTTTCGTCTTTGCTTCACCTTTGTGTTACTTTAGACGCATCGGCCTCTCAGATCCTATTCAGCGCGACACCATGATGGATGCAACCGACTAGTTTCCCTGTTAGCACATGTGGCAAGTTTAGTATGTTTGTAGATTACGCTGACCAGTACGGTCATTTCTAATTAACGGGGTCTGTTTCCCCCTCCGTACGTGGAACAATAGTTCCATACACTCTCACAGCAGCGGGATGAAGACCTCTTTTTACGATTTCGGGGAATTCGGATAGCTCCACCCTCTTTGTAGCATTACGCACTTTCCTGCGGTCCCATCTAGTGTGCAAGTCCCCGTATGCGAACACGTGTGACGGCGCTGACGGGTATTGTGGCACATTAGACTTACAAATTGTTTTGCATAAATTGCGCCAGCTCGTGCACATGTGGGGTACAGACCACTAACGGCTGACCCCCCGTGCATGTGGCGCGACTTTGTTGTGCATCTCACACCAAATGGCGTAATGCGCGAGAGGCCTTCTTCTCCAGCAGACCTTCCTTGTCTAGGTCCGCATAGCCGTACTTGGCTGAACATTTCACGAAGACCGGCGAATAATCTCTTGACGAATTTTCCGTTGCCGTCGTACCGCCTACTCCATTTCGGTTAGTATTGAAATTGAAGCGGCGTGACGGTCGCGCACGTTCACATTGTCGCTGGTTACTGGCGGTTTCGATTCAACGGACACATAGTCATTACGAACGCTTTTCTCAGGCCTCTGACTGTCCTCAGTTTGCTTTTGATCATGACTCATCTACTGTTCTAGCTCATATTTACCTGACATTTTAGCACAGTGCATTGGTATGCCTACGCCTGTCGTAGTCGCCTTCCCTGATTACGACTTTTTCTGATGGTAGTTCTGTTTTCCAGCTTTCACTGCAGTTATGCACGAGTCATTCAAGTCTGTTCTCTAACTCACTTTGTTTCATCCATGTTAAACGGTGCCGCTTCACAATCACCTAAGGTAGCTCATTTTTAGAAACTGGCACTTGCTTCTGTGAATTCGATACGATACGACGAATTAGCTTTCTCTTTTTAGTACTAACTCAACCGCTGACACTCCTTAAGGGAGATCGGCATACTCTTCCGTATATTATCTGCACCTGTAAGAGTATGCGACTGCTGCATGCTTGGGTTAACTCGCGACCATTGCTTACGATGACAGAGGAACCACTTGTAGTAACTATTCGGTTGACTCGCTTGGCTGACCGTCTCTCTTCTGATGGTCTAGTCACTGAAGGGCTCCCATCCCTTGTCGATATTGTCCACATGGTCAGCACTGTTACGTCTACCAAAGACGTTACTGCTTCGTGTGAAAGAGAGACCGCTCGCTGGTGAAGGAAGTGGCCGATTTAATTGAGGAGTTCTGGTCCCCTAGAATCAACCCAACCAGCCATCGAATGTCACTCTAGGCCATTCTGTTTTACCCTCTCGATGGACAGTCTTGTGTGTACTCGGTTCTGAGCTTGCCGATGTGGAATGAACTCTTCATTGGTTGAACTCACAAAGTAAATGCTGCCTTTGTCAACTTTACACGCAACACGGTAGCATACTATAAAATCCCGTAAGGTCTTTGGCTTGTTTTGTCTCGTCGATCCATTTTTGTCGAATAAATCGTTTGTCACGGTACGAACCACCTTTAATTCATACCTGTGACGCCTCCTCGCCATCTGTTAAGATCTCTGTGAGTGGACGTTACCCCGATATCTGCCAAGAGAAATTCGGCAACCGACTTCCTGACGACACTGAGCCATCCGTTTCATCTCGTTTATACGCCATTCCTACGTGACATTCTTTGCACACAATCTAACTGCATATTTCTTCATATGTGCTTTGCAGACACTGTACCTACTGAATGAAGCTGCATAGTGGTGACCATATGATAAAGTCGGAAAGAAGCGCTATCTCGTTCTGACGTTCCCCGTCTTCCTATATATGGGCCTTATACGCCTCCCTCCCCCCCCCACTTACGTTTCGGGATCCTGTGTCATGAAATATCGCAGTGGCGAAGTCGCCGTTACACCATTGCGTTTGTTCATAGTTGTCCGTGTTTTTTACATGCCATTCTTTGAGTTAAATTTTTGACAACATGTGTGCTTCCTTTGAGCTTCACTTAGATTTTTATGTTTGCGTCTATTAGAACATTTGCATCTAACATTACCCGTTGTTTAGTTGTTTTATTCATCAGCAGTGAAATCAGCATAGCTCTTTTTTGCTCCGGTACACTTGCTGAGTCAAGCGAACACGCTATGTTCCACTTTCGCCAGAATGCTCGTACATCTCACTGTCAGAAATGGCTGGTGGCATCCGGTTTCGGATTTGCCTGTCACTGTGGCCAGCCACAGGACGCCTGCGACTACAGAGGGACCATGGGTGGCTTGCTCTGCACCACCAACAGCTCCAACCACATACCCCATATCCAGTGTAAACCCGAAGGAATAAGACCGGGAGGCATGTGGATGGGAGCCACTTTCCATCAACGGAGCCGGCCCACACTCCTTCACAGGCAAACACAGGCACACTGTATTTGGGGAATCAATCGCACACAAGGCGGTGGCTGGACCGTACTCCGCTCCACACTGAGTGCATGGAAGCGCTCTTCGGGCCTAGCACGGTCACAAGGGCCGTGCACCCTGTCCCTTGTTGCAACGACCAACTGTCTTCTGGAGCCAGTATGGACGAGGTAGTTGGTAATAGACTGGTGGGCAGCTTGTCAACATTCACATCAAGCGCAGCCACACCGGGGATGTCAAACAACAGCCAATCACTCGAAATGACATTATCAAGTAAAATGAATCTCTTAAAGCATACGGCTATGCCGACATAACTCTTCGCTAAATTAGCATATGAAGTAAGTTGGTTAGAAACGCATCCGCGATAAGTACAAATTGTCCACAATCTACTAAAAAAATGCTACAAAGGCAATAAAATTAAGGAAGAACCACAATTAGCGTAAGCAATGTGGCCAGTTAATAGACGATTATTCAGGTAGGCACAGAACAAACCAAATAAAGTGGGATGAAATTTATCCAGCTTAAAAAAAACTTGGATTAAGCTTATGTTTAAATCAGTCAGTTCCCTTCAGAAATTTGAAAAGCACGGTAAGATGACGAAAACTAGTAGATGCATGCATTTCGTATTGTTGTTTTTGTTGTGTCCCCAGGCGTTCGACTTCTTAAATTGCGCCCCACGAGTCAAAAAGACACGCACCGGACAGGAGGTATATTTGCAGAACACTACACGGGCCGGCGTGGGTATAAAAACACACAAAGTTCAGTCCCAGTCACGGCTGAGGGCTAATTCGAATTTATCGATCTGAAAGAACCACGGGTCGTGTGAGGGGCATGTAACAAGCAGTAGTAACAAATGTTCTGAAACATGGAAAACACTGTGTTTTTTCTTTCATCTCCAACAGTTTTACTCCAACTGCGGTGAAGAAGCATCATAAATGCAACATCAGCCTCTGCATGGGGCGCATTGTCAGATATATATATATATATGTATATATATATATATATATATATATATATATATATATATCACTGTGAAGGGTTCAGTAATAGATCATCCATGAACCCCAGTATGTTACATCTGAATGATGAAAAAACTTTCGCAGCCGGTTTATAACTGATGCTCGGTGAGCTGGCAAGCCCATCAGGTATGAGAGTCTACTATGATAACACGACAAATGTGACCCCTTAGTGGGAACGGTACGGTACATGACTGATCACGCATCGTGCCCACAGACCACAATTGTGTCTGTGCATTCGCTTGAACATTGATGCTCTCTGTTTTTTCGTCCTACTTGCATCTACCCTTTTACGCAATCCTCTTCCCTTAGATTACCACTCCCTCGAAGATCCAGTCCGATTGAGTACGAAAGAGCTCTTCATTTTAGCTCATCACAGCCTACGCAATTGCATGCTCAGTAAGTCCCCTTCGTCTTTTTGGTCACTTCGCTTCACCACGCATCCTTCCGTCGTTCACCACTTGTTCCATCCATCAGATGGTACTACTGTTACTGTTACTCTTCTTATTTTGCGACTTTATTGACCGTCCTTCTAACTGTGGCCTATTCTGCCCCTCGGCAGGGCGTTCCGATGGTTCCGCTGAGTTGGACGAACGTCACCGATGGGCTCAGCTAGTCGCTTTGAACAAAATGATCCAGGCGATGAACAAAGAACATCACGAAATCTTGTCCGCTCTAAAAGTCAGTGTCCGAGTTTCTTCCTCTTTATCATGCTTCCAGATCTGTGTCATGTTGTACAGTTCACCGTTTTCCCATTTGCTTGAATGAACAATACTTTATCATGGGTAAAAACCAGGCACTAGACAATTCAAGTCCAGTAAGATGGTTGAGGTGAAAGTGAAAATTCGCAAGATAGGTAATTCGTCAGTTTAATCGTCTACCGATTTAGATGCGCTGCTGCCAAATGATGATGTGAAATGAGAATTAAATGTTAGCCCACAAAACAATATGTAGAGCAATTATGGTTGACGCATTCTATGAAAATGCTTACTCGCGTGTTGCTTTCTTGGACCTATTGGATACGTAACTCCAGTTTCCGTACATCTTCTCGATATTCCACAGTAGCAACATCTAGAGACCTTTGTCTTTTGATTTGGAAAGTGGATCTGTCGTGAACTGGGTGTCCGCATCGGTTATCCGTACTGTCAACGGAAAGTGGAAGTGAAGATGAACACGTTGATTGTTAGTGTTACGATGACTCAGGGTCATAAAGGGCTATATAGCGTAATATCTGGGTGTATCATCGAAACTACTTTTGGATACCGTCAGTGTGGGGGAAGGAACAGCGTAAGCAGAGAGGTTTCCAAGTTTGCCCCACACGAAGCGCAATTTCCTCGGCATTCCAAACGCCTCTATCGTGTAGCCAACATTAAATAATGACCTCTCAGAGGCGTATTGTGATTCATCTTTAGAAGGTGATGACAAGCATGGTTTGGATTCCTCAGGATCTTATATGTCATTATCAAATCGCCGCGCAGGCGTCGCTATTATCCACCGTAGATCCCAAAGGAGATGAAACAGACGCTTTATATTCGTGATCGCCCTTTGTTTTGGCATTTCAAGTCCAGCAAGATTGTACTTGTACCAGGGCTGCCGGGCATAGATGGCGCGATCCGAATGGAGCCTAATGTATGCGTTGGGCATCTGAGAGGAAATGAAAGCTTCAAAGCGCCTGATTGCCCTTCACAGAAGGCCAAGATGTTAGTTGACTTTTTTAATGTTTTCTAGGCCTGATGGGATTGTCAAGATCATCATGTACTATCACACCTAGGTCGCATTCAGTTGAAGCGCGCTGCCAAACCTGATCCCGCAGCCTGTACTCGCACTTTGATTGATAGCGTATGCTCAGTGTCTTGCGCTTGGTGCGGTTGAAACGAACCAGGTTCTGTGTCACTCATTCGTATACCCTATCAAGGTCATCCTGAAGTGCTATCTGGTTACCTGTTGTTTTGATGACCCGTCATAGTTTGAGCTTATCACAAAGAGTAAGAAATCGAGAATAATCACTCTCGCGAGATAGTTTATGTAAATAAGAAATAGGCGTGGACCAAGTACTTAGCGCTGTGACACTCTGAACTAAACATCAATCGGGTCAGAGATGGCGCTGTGAACTCGTACATTCAGATATCGTTGAAGTAGGAAGTTATCTATCCAACCTAGGACCCGATCACCAATACCACAGCTCTGCAGCTGCTGAGGACGGATGCGGTGGTTCAGACTATCGAACGCTTTTGAGAAGTCTAGATAAACTGCGTCAGCTCCCACACTGCTGCAGATGGTTCCAGTTCAGTTGGAGCGAACAAGTAGCTACTTTGCACCCAGCGTGGGGGCTCTGAGGGTTGCTGTTGTCATCCATAATGGGGGCCAGATCCAGTGATCTGGCATTTTAGAAAGTCTAGTAAGCTGTTAGCCGCATAACTAACTATTTCGGTTACATTTTTATCGTGATTGCATGAAAACCCCAGAGTGGATCTAATACAGGTAGGGAAAACAGATGTGGTGACAGTTCTGTGATGTTACAAGTTGAGACGTTCCTCACGTTTTTGGTGATGTGCCCCGGGGAATTTGCCTTGTCACATGAGGTATGTATGATAGATGATGCACTGTACCTTCGCAAAAGTGGGCCACCGGAATTAGGCCCATGGTGGCTCCCCATCGGATGTACATGTATTCAATAATTCCGATAGGGGAAACGGTGTTAAGACACTGTTCATTGGCAGTCTTTCCATGCATGCGGGTATCTGTGTGAGGAGAATCCACAGCGAACGCTGGTGTGTCAACCGGGACCTTATCACTAACAGGTAGCAAATGGCCGTTTGTTTGGTCTGAGCAATCGGCGGTCAAATAGAATTATTAAGGTATTGGAAGAAATATACACATTCTGTTTTTGTTCTTCTCAACCAAAGACGATCCGAGCTGAGGAGTTTGCAATGGCCATGGTTGTTGAACACGGTAGAATCTAAGAACCGCTGCACTTTCCCCATGGCTATTCGATCGCTTTTTATTGGTTGACTGAACGTCAGCGAGTAGTATTCTTTGCGTTGCGATTGGTCACAGCTTTTATGAAGAACGCGTTTCGATTCCATAGGCATCATAGTTCTGCAAATGTGGCCAGTAAGTGCTTTAGCTTTCGGTGAGTGGAGGGAGCTCAAGTAATAGTGTACACTTGGATCACAGATTGCTTGGCAGTTAGCAGCCGGTGGTGCACCGTTTGGTCTCAACTGCGCTAGGGGCAACAGCACAGTGATACGAAGGGATAATGCATTTATCCGGTGTGAATTCCATCTTCCAAGTCACACCAGGGTTCGTGGTGTTGATACCACGAGTATTCTGAAGCCTGTGTCATGCACAAGACCTGAGACAGTTGATATTGGGCAGGGAGAGAATGTCGGTACTAATGATGCCTCATAACTAAGAAGTCGGTGTCGCCAGAGTAGAATCATGTTGTTGGAGTTGGGCCGGGAAATTGGACGAAACTGATATCTTCGAATTACACACTTGATTCGCTGTTGCATGCGATTTTGTTCGATTATGGAGCGTTCCTTCGGCCGTGTTATAATTGAGGGAACGCCGCCTCTTGATGTGATTGCGTAATTGCCTGATAAGGTCGTCGCTGGCACGGTTGGAGCACGCTACGGTGACGACTTGTAACGCTGGCCACTCGAACGGAGTTGCGCTGACCTGATGACGCTAGCTTAGCCGGTGAGACGGACAATTGAGCGAGCGTGTGAACGATCCTAGCCGCACGTGTTCGGATAGACGCTGAGCCCTCGGAACGGACGCACACGAGAGGGGGGTTACGATAGACGCGCGCTAATGTCTTAGACGCGAAAGGGCTGGCCAGCTAACGATTCACACGCAATCACGTGACCCGACCGACTCCCAAGTGAGGCGAAGAGAAAGAAATGGCAAGTGGTCCTCTGTAGGTCTTTTACGACCAACAATGGGCGATCACAGCCAATGCACTGGGTTATTAAGTTAGAAAATACAGTCACCACGAGGAGATGGTAGTTTGCAAATGACCGTTGTCAAAAGGTTCGCAGTTGGGACGCGCCTCGGAGTGGCTGAGCGCTGCTGCGTTGTGGGGAGGAATTGAACCTCGTTTTCCACAGCCATTCTGCCGGGGTTTCTGGCGCGTCTTTGCGGGAATATTTGACGTGCCCGCAACAGGTCGGTGGCCGAAAACTTTACGCGCTCTCCTTTTAATTTGGAGGTCACCGGTTTGAATCCGCGTAGGTCCTCCGGGAGACCTCGCGCGACCGGTGGTAGTTGTATGGAGGAGACGAAGCGTTAGTGCGGTGTGTCGACGTATTGATGATGCCTATGCCTTGGAGCTCTTTTAGATTTGCATTGACTTAGGTGACCACGGTGTCACGAGTGGTAATGATCGGTCGTTTAACTAACCATGTGCTTCGATATGTTTGCGTTTACTCGATCATAGCTAAATTCAAGCCGATGCTGTGTGCTGCGGAAGTAATGGTCTTTGGAAGTAATTTCATGCAGACGGGTTGAGTCTCGATAAGTTTCACCTTTGCAGACTTGGATTTACTAAGCCAGTGCTTGATACGGTTAGACAAAGGCAAGACATGAATTTTATCCCTTGTGTGTTATGTCGGGGTTTCTTCTAACAAGGGAGGTTGGTAAGTGGACATTTTGTTTTGGCGGATCACACTAAATGGAGGACCTCAAGAGGTGAGATATGTTGATCAAGAAAATGGCGTCAGCTCTATCAGGTACATTTGACGGAGAAAGATTGGAAGCTACGATGCTACGAGACTTGGGTGGGGGTGGCGATTTACTCTGACAACTATTGTCACTTTACGTGATAGCGAAGGTTCTAACTTTGCTGCCTTGAGTACGTGGGAAATGAGCTCATCTCTGTGTCGGATGTCGTCAGAAAACATCTAGCTTCGACTGTCATTTTTATCTTTTGAAGGTTCATCAGTTGACTTGAGTGCCCTTTGTGTGAATATGGTCAGGTGTAAAGTGGATGGGTCATGTTCTGGTCCTATATCTAATCCCAAATTTCTTGATACCAATTTATTGTTAGGCTCCTGCGAACGTGGCCTGATATTTATTGGCAGTATTGATTACCGCTTAACTTCCGTAGTGGATTGTATGTGCATTTACCTAATGGTACATCGCACATTCGTTGCTTACTATATCTCACTTCCTCTAATGGCAAGCGCTTTGGAGTAATCAAACATCACGGCCTTGTAGCCGGGTAGTTTCGTCCGTTTATTTCGATGGCATTAATAGCCACGTACTCCCCAGCCACTTTGATGTCACTGGGATTTAAACTTTTATACAAATTGATCCAATAAACAAGTGGCGAGCGAGCCTCCGGCCAGTGATTCATTCACGGATGCTGTCTCTTTTCTGTCCAAGCATCTCTGCACTCCATGCGCCACGTTCGATGAAACGTTCATTGTTCGTGGAGAGGTAGATTGGACCACTTTCTATTTCAACTCGATTGTGGTGCAGTGTTACTTCGGCATGACATTAACTATACAAATACACAGAGACAGTGTACGGTGAGTAAACGCCATAGCAGTAACCAACAATGTGAAAAAATACAGGCAAGTACCACTTAAAGTTAGCTAAAAATAACTGCAGTAAAACCGCAAGTTAACTACTCAAATGCTGGACCAAAGTGGTAAGGTGGAGAGGTGGTCAACGTATGGCGATTCTATACAAAAAACAGCGTACCTTACTTTTCCGTTGTGAGCAGTACATTATAGATTTTGTTTTCATGTGCTTCCTGTATCGAATATATTAGCTTAACTCCTACATAATAACCAACAGTTGAATCACACAGTATTATATTCTATCAAAACGCAGTGCGGTTTCCTTAAAGTTGGATCATTTTTGAAAAAGGTCAAATTTTGTCTGCTTCTTATCGGAAACTAAACAGATTAGCTTAGAACTGGTTACTCGACAGTTAGACAGGCACACGAACTCCTGTTTGCCACCTGTGTAATAAGGGGTACATGTTGCAAAGGACCCTACTCTTACCATCGACCCTCACCAACAGTCCCTTTCTAGCTGATCTACTGGTTTTCACCTGAAACTGTTACATCATCAACAGCTGTGCATCACCAGCAATTGATTTAGCTGCTTCTCTGTCACACAATCATAATCACTTAGGGAATCAGAGATTGCTTGAGACGGGAAGTTGAACATAGTGTATAACCCATATACTCTAAGCAGGTGTTACAACTCCTCGACGAAACATAATCACAATCAGGTGTCGTCCGGGGATAAGGCGGCATCACTGCGCTGCGCTATGATCAGCACCAATCAAAATTAAAACAAGCAGTCCGACTAGGAGGCACGCCACCGTTGCCGACTGCGAGCTATGCCCTGTAAAATCTCGAGACAAGTAAACGATACGTCATGTGGACTCCAGCCTGGAAGGTGAGACGGACCAACAGCTCCCAGCTTGTCTATCATTGACTTCAGTTCACACTGCCGAGTTAAATTTTGCTCGCCTCGAGCTATGCGCTGCGCTACATCCGACAAACTGAACAAGACTCTCTTTGCCAAGCGGTGACAGACTATACCTAGTATATGCCCAAGTCAACGCAGCTTATTCAATCTACTTTGTTTTTCAAAGGAACTAGCCCGATTATCACAACCTAACTACTCGCCTAAGCGTTGGTGCCATCCTACACCAGCAATGCTCAATGCTCAAAACCTTGAAGGTGTCTTAGTTCCTCAGACACAAGGCACACAATTTTACTGTGACTGTATACGCAGTCTTTGAGACAGAAAGAAACTCCCGCTTAACCACAAATTTCACGGGTTCAAGAATGCCTTTCTTCAATTCGACGATCATTTGCATGTTCGATGAGGGACGAGCGCCTGCACATGTGACGCGTCTAATTTGTTGTTTTTCCGATCCCCTTCAGTCCCCGGTATTAGTACCAATAGTCCTACTAGTAACAGTTGTTGTTACCGCTGCTGCCGCTGCTGCTGCTGCTGGACTTTTTGCTGTTTTTTGCTTTTGTTGCCATTGTTGTCGGGCGCATCTGTTTGCTGGACTTAACTTCCTCAGTGACTGCTTCTAGAGATGATCCGTGGGTGGCTTGCGCTGCACCACAAACACACTATATATTGTCTACCAAACTCGACGAGCTAGCACGACCCGAGGACAGGGGTTTGAGAGTCTCGGGACCGACTCCCATTCCGACAAAATAGCGTGACAGCATTCCTGACTCTGAAAGTTTACCAGAGGACTGTGTACACCACGTGAAAGTGCGCTCAGTGGTTGACTCTTGCAGGCTCAACACCTACAAATCAGCCCTTGATACAAAATATGAGAAGCAGACCCAACAGACGCACACAACGCGGCGCTTGATCTACTGCTCTTTCAACGCCTGCACCGGCATTTGTACATTACACTGTCACAGACGTTGTACATCCGTGGTCTCGATTAGCATTCTGCAATTGACAGCATCGGGCAGCTAGGCATCTCAATGTTATTCACATATTGCTGCATCAAACCCCGCATATTACTCAAGGGGCAAACGGTCCACGTGGGGATATCACCCAATCGATCATGCAAGCAGCAGTTTTAGTAGCAACGCGCAACTCACATACGGTGTGTCTGCCACACCAATACGCTGGACGCTTCGGAACATTTGCCCAATTCACGTCCGATGATTTGCTTGTTCCTTCACTTAGTGATCCATGGATATTCGTCGAACCTTTGTATTGAAGGCATCCAACTTCCATGTCCATGATCAACATCCAACGGTGTAGAGCTGCTCTCGCCGTGTCCACTGCCGTCAAACTATGTACCATCCCATTGTGGTGGATTAAAGGTAGATACTACTGCACCGGTTATTAGTAGTGTGGTGGTACAAGATGACACACCAACAGCGAGCCCTGCCGACTTCCCCAAAGTGGAAGATGACATCAGGATTACAGTTCCATGCGCACGAGGAGTGAACACAGAGGCGAGCACCAGTTGGGGAACACTTCATGGAGATCACGCAGATGAGCGGACGCCTCCAAGGTATGAACGAACACACCTAGTGTAAGCCACTTTAGCAATAAACAATTAACACCTGCCCCTTGGGTCCTAACACCATTCTGCTGTCCTGTACATTACAAGTAAGGAATGTTTTTATCATTCACTAAACTTGCGTCCGTTAATGTGCGCCTACCACTCTATAGTCTGCTTGCCTACTTCCTCTTAAGCGCTATCGCATACCTAACGCTCCTACAGAAGCTCCTTATATTGTAACCATTACAGCGCGAGGAATCATTAGCTCAGCTGATCGCTGTTGCTGACCTATCGCCTATATGGTTCCCCTTGTCCCGTCAACGAAGGGTCCACTGATTGAGAGTTGCCAATCATACCTGTCTGAAGCAAAAAGCCATAGAGTTTGCTGGTTAGCGCGAACCTCAAACTAACTTGCTGTTATAGCATAGCCTTAAGGATCGCAAGCCTACCTTGTAATCCGAGGTTACTGGTTCGAGCCTGCGTAGCGACCAGGCGGCCTTCACAGTATCCTCAGCCCACATTTGACTGGTTGTGGTCGGTACTGCGTAGGGGCGTATTGCTGATGCCTTATGTAAGTATTTCAGCTTCCTCTGTCCAAAACCGGTCTCTCCCAGTGCCATTCCCTTAGAGACATTGTAAACTTGCAGTTTGTGCATTATTCTCAGCTTTTTACAGAGTCAAATGATCTGAGCGAGTAGAATCGGACTACCAGATTGACTCATTATAGCTTATCTGAATCCGTACTTGAGCCACGCCTTGCGTACAGAGCTACGATTCTTGAACGTAACTTCTTTTACGATGTTGAATTTCCACATTCTGGTAGGAGATTAGAGGGGGATGATTCAACGGCTCTGATGCTTACTGCGCGTAACCGAAGCATTACATACTTAGTGTGTCTCTCATTTTGCACATATATGCAAGCAATATACGCCTCGGTGCGATTGTTCGTGATTAGGTCTTGGTTTTGTCTATATGTTCTGCCAAGTGGTGACATGTCGATGACTTCACCCATCCGCCCACCCAATCGACCATTGTGTTCGTCGCCACTTATCATAGTCATCTGGATGTTTTCTATTTCACTGTTCGCTATGCATTGTTCTCGCGTTCATTACTTGATAGGTCGAACTTCTAATCGATTAACCTAGGGACTCATGTACAACGTGTGGTACTGCCTTTGTTCACTGTGATCTTCTTGGCTCGTTAGCTTAGCAATAGCCATTCTCTAGACCTTTTCCTCCACTCAGTGACAAACTAGAATCCGCTTCGCGGTTGAACAAAAGCTGGACTCAGTCTAAAATATCACATCACTTGAGGCTTTTTTCTTTTCATTTCCCTCCACTTCTTCCAGGAAGTTCGACCGGACTTGCATTTTCCTGAACTCTACATCGAGATGTTCCAATTGGCCGACAGCGCATCGGCTCTGTTCTCTGCCTCGGCCAAGGCAGTAACCTTGGCCTGCTCCAGCGCCTTTCAATCATTAGCCCCATTGAAATTATCACTGTGTCAGCAACAACCACCACTACAAGATTCCACTGCGTCTGCTGGTGCTGCTACGACTACTGTTGCTGCAACTCCTGCTGTTGGATTACAATCTACGGATCCAAACACTTCAACCGAAGCTACCGATTTGACCCAATCCAACTTCCTGCCTACCGGGGATCGTTGGGATGCTAGTCGGTTTGCGTTGGCAGTCCCTGCTGCCGTTGCCGCAGTGGCTGCGGTGGCCGCCGCAGCCGAGGCTAGCTATCCGCCGACACATCTGGTAGGTGGGACGACCACGTTATCTCGATCAGACGGAACCGGTGCACGTTCGCCGCCGTACTTTGTCACACCTTCCTCAATTTTCTTCCCATCTCAGCCCCCACCACCGTGACACTATGCCACCCCTGTGATTGGAAGAGATCCTGTGCATCTCGACGGTTGCGCGCTGCTTTCCCCCCCCCCCCCCGCTGATGTCAGCATTACTTTTTTGTATATCTGCGCCCCATCTCATTGTGTTTGCATCTCAGGCTTTTGTGCACTCATAAAGCGCCATGATTGTTCCTTATTGTTTATATTACTTAAACTCTTTCCTTCTTTTTGATTGGATAATTCCCGTTTCCGCGACTTCTTGCCCTTTTCACAGATATTCTTATCTATGTTAATACACCGCATGCGCATCTGTATACGTCGATATATCCGCATTGTTCGGGATACTGCTTTTATTATTCGCAACCTCAGGACAGCGGAGACTTGAAGACTCTTCATTGCGACCTCCGCTTTTGTTTGTTTGTTTTTCTTTTTTCTGCCCTGATTTTAGGTACTGTTTTATTCAGACAATTTTTCCACGCCCTTGGCGAGCCGTGTATTGGGCTCCAGTGAACTACAATGTCTTATGTCGCATTATTATGTGAATATTTTCCGAATCAGATGCATTTTCGGTTGTTCACAAATGCCATCTATCCTTCACATGCACACACACATTCTCTTTCGTCTGTCCCCTGTGATTGACAACTGTACGCTCGTTTTCCCGTCCTTGCTCCCTTACACCATGTTCATTGGTTCGTATTCGATGTTTAAATGGCGCCCCCCATCCCTTCCATTTTTAGAATCCCGGTCCAATGTGCGGTTTCGCATTGGTGGTACAACCGCACCGGCACATATTATCTCCATCTTTTCCATTCTGCTGAATTTTGTGGCTCCCTGGAGTCCCTCACTTGTCAAATCAGTCCAGCTCTCAACCCCGGTTTCCGTTTCCATCCCTTCCGCATTCTTTTGTGGATGCATCACGACCAGATGCCAATTGCACGTTGTAGCTTCTCCCTCTTTCCGGTGGAGAGTTTACTCAGGTCATTTGAGCACACACCTTTTATTCGGAAGAATTTTTCTCTCTGCTTTGTTACCCTGTGTTCATTTTTCACACGCATCGCTACTGCCCTGTTCACGATACATACTGCCGAAGTCGCCTCCGTTTGAGGCGCTTACACCAGGAAACTTTATCGCCATCGACAGCACTCTGGCTACCTCAGTCGACCGTCGTGCGGTCTTTGACCACATTGCCATCCCCCCTCCATTCACTGTGGATGAAGAGGTGCTTTTTTCTCCTTCACTCAGTCATGATGCATTCTTACCATTCTTTTTAACTGTGGGTTATTCACACAAAGCGCCTTCCTCTGTTTTCTCTCCCTTGGTTTCCTACGACCTCGCTGTGTCGGCAACAATGTTACCATTCAGCCACTTTTTTGCCTTTGATTTTATCCTTGTCTTTTACCGGAAAGAAATTTGACTGTCGCCTCTGTTGTTTACTTACCTTACCACCACTTCTCAATTGCTCATCGTTACCATCCAATAAGACAGCGCCACTCTCTTATTATTTTCCTTTCCCTTAACCTAGACAACATGTAAGTTTGGCTTCTACGGTTGTATTTTGAGCCGTTGCGCATCCCCCCGCACATCTATCGCCACAGTGTCACCACACTCTCTAGCGAGGTGGTCCGCGTTATTGTCGTCATTACTAATGTCACGCCACCAATCCGACCATCATCATCATCATCTCGTTATTCGCGTTGCGCCTGTTCGGTCGCAAGATGCGTTGGTTGGTGTGCTCTTCCGCTTCCCCCTTTATCCTCTTCACTTTTGTATGCCACTTTTTTTTGTAGTCGCCCCTCAATGAAGCGCCACGATCATCAGCAACCCTCTCCTCAGGTATCTTGCTCGATGCGTTCACGAGTTATTCATTTTTCTATCGAAGTGTTTTGGGCATCTCATGTGTATTGTACGCTTTTTCTCTTTTTCCTGGTTCATGTCTTTAAAATCATGACGTTTCCGATCTACATGTGACGGAATGATTTTGCTTTGCCTTCACCGTTTTATCCTCCGGGATAGAATCACCTAGAACGTTTAGATTTCCTGGAGATGTAGATCCGACCCCGCACAACTTCTTCGTTAACTTGGAGTTTCTGGAAAATTTCTACAAATAATGTACTTCTTAGCCACGCAATTCAACTTAGGTGCTCCGGTTACTGGGACCCGCGAGTGATTTGATACCTTCTTCTGTACCGCATGTCCCAATACTCTGTTAATGCGTGACAAAGGGTAATTCTTTCGCGTGTGAGGTAGAGTGCACTAAGTTGCAACTGTCCAGTAGTAGATGTTAGTCTATATCAAAACGTCACACCCGCACAGGAGTGCAGAATGACTGTATGCAAGTGAGTACATGGGTACTTACACATGTACCTAGTGTCGCCCCTCGTGAAAACGCTGGATGGCTGAGTTGGAGTCAACCTACTCCACGACACAAGGCAAGTTCACCGATCGACGGCTGGATGGAATGGAGACCGGTGTTGTCAAAATGGAAACAGCAATGCGTCATAACCCCGCTACAGCGGTATAATGGTGGTGGTACTTCGACAGACGTAACTGGCCTGAGCAAGGAATGTGCAATAGGTGCTTAGTGTTATCTCAGGTAGTGACAAATGGGTTATTTGCAACACTCTTGTAGACTGAAAGTTACCTTCCAACAACCTACATTCGCATAATAGACATTCTTTACAATTAGGCCTTGCACATATGAAATGTGACATTTTGAGCAAGTTTTGAAAAGCCATGCAGTCTAAAGACTACCGGCTGCCGCAAAGCCTATTCTCCCATCGCAGTATTGCTCACCGTTGCAGAATACAAGTGTGGTTACACTGCCCGATTGGTTTCAGACGGGACCATGAACGTGCCTTCCAACATATTCACTGATGAGGCAATATTCTATTAGCAGGTAACTGTGAAGCTGCATTTCTAGGCAATATCCAATTCACGAGGATACTAAGAATCACGTATTGCACCAAGCGCGAAGCTCATTGACTTGAAAAAATGAATGACAAATGGTGGGACCACAGCACACGCATGTGGGTTCTCACGCATACTGTACACCACAAGCCCGTTATCCTTGTGATAACTTTGCTGACACATTATGCTGCAAACGTACCTTTGGCTCAAATCTGGTGACCGGGCAGGCCAGTCCTTTGGACCCCTGCGACCGCTCCACCGGTGACCGAACACCTCCATAAGATAATGCCGCACCGTTTGTGCATAAGGGGCAGGTGCACCATATGGATTCTGTAAAGGTTGAAGCGAAGTGCCGAAGTATCCAACAATAATCGGTGGTGAAAACATCTCTATCTTATAGCTCCTATGTAATTTGTCAGCGACAGTTCCCTTACCACTGGAGAAGCATGATAGTAAGAGGAATGGCGGTAATCATAATTGAGTTACTTGGCAAACACGAGGTTAACGTCATATGAGCAACGCAAGTACGTGACTCTGGCTTGCAAGTAGTGCATAACGCAGCCTACTGAGCTTCAATAGTTTCCTCCACTGCCCCTTCAAGTTTACAGTAAACATCAACAGCGACGCCTGCACCCTGTCGGGTTGTGGAGCGATCGGGCGTTGCTCACGTACCCATCTTGTTCTACTTTCTCCCAGCGTTCATTCAACCCCGACGAGCTATACGTGCCATTACCCATCGCAACAATGTGCTAGTGAAATCAATCCCTATGCATTATATATTTCCATGATGTTTCAAGAGCATAAAAATCAACGAAATACATGTTCAAAATGACCACAGCCGTTTTGCTTGCAGAGCAGTACTTGCCGGATGCTATAGGCTAGCACTTTCGGCCAAGTGTCCACCGATATACCGCGACATTTGTTGACGATGCTCTGTTACAGTTCCTTGGACCTGAAGCTGTGGAATGGCACAGGTCCGCGGGATTTATTTGTAGGTGGATGCTGACAACTGCGAAGTGCCAGTTCTGTTAATAAATCAACCTACCCGTCATCAAAGTCAACGAAGTAAATGTTCAAAATGTCCGCCGTCGTTTTGCTTGCACAGCAGTACTCGCTGGATGCTATTGGTTAGCACTTTCTGCAGCGTCCACCGATATACCGCGATATTCGTTGGCGATATTCCGTTGCAGTTCCTCGGGACGAATTGGCCTTGTTTTATACACTCGGCATTTCAAATACGCCCGTAGGAAGAAATACAGTGCGTTCAAAACAGCAGACCGTGTAGGCCAATCAATAGGTCCTCCACAACCGCTCCAGCGGCTACTCAACTTTCGTTAAAGTAATCACGCATCTTTTGTGCAGAAAAGGCAGGCGCATCATCATGCTGCCACCAAACGACAGCCAATAAGCGCTCGGCCTGTAGCTGTGTAATGAAACTGGACTGCAAATTTCTTTGTAGGGAGATGGTAAAAAATGTGAAGCATTCATTCTGCAACAAAAAACAACTTCATGCAGGCATTTCCCTTCACGAATTTCAATAAAGCAAGAAGAAACAACATTTTAGAAGAATTTACTGAATTCAGTAATTTCGCGTATTCTCCTCAGCTGTTTACATACAATGAGTGGAAAACATTGCGATGTTAACAGCAAAAATTCAAAGCGGTCGAAGGTCTTTAGGCTCATGTGACCTGTTCCGAGGAAAACGCAATCGCTAGCCTCACCAGGGTAGGGTTAGCGGGGTCACGAAATCCGTTTGCTTGCCCGTCAGTAAATCCCATGGTTGGCGGCATCTGGTTTCGGAATTGCCTGTCACTATGGCCAGCCACAGGACGCCTGCGCCTACAGAGGGACCATGGGTGCTTTGCACTGCACCATCGACAGCTCCAAGCACACACCCCATATCCAGTGTAAACGCGAAGGAATAAGACCAAGTGGCATGTGGATCATCATCATCAACGGCAGTACATCAGCCATTTGAACTGATGCTTCGCTGCCATACAACCATGAGGACCTATGAAATAAAGAATAAGAAGAGGGAGAGAAGGGGGACTTACCTGAAAACCTTAATGCCCTAAGCAAACATTCAGGATCAAGACGCCTACACCTTGTGTTAACAACATACCGTCACAAACAGCTGGCTATCGTGCAAAGATAAGGTGGCATCGGCGAGACAGCTTCCTTGCGGCTTTCACTGTCACGCGTCATAATCAGCCATTATCCCGCAGATAACTCAGCACCAAACACACTTTAAACAGACAATCCGATTAGGAGACGGCAGCACACGCGCCACTGGTGTCGGTTGCGAGCCATGTCCTGTAAAGTCTCGAGCCAAGCACAAGGTGAGTCGCTTGAACTCCAGCCCGGAAGGCGAGACGGACCAACGGCACCCAGTTTGGTCGTCAGTGACTTCATTTCCCGCTGCCAAGTCAACTTCTGTCCACCGCGAGCTTTGTGCCACCCTATACCTGGCAGACTGAACAAGGCCCTCCTAGGTAAGCGGTGACCAGGCATGCGTAGCATGTGCCCGAGCCAACGCAACTTATTCAGTGCTATCTGCTGTTCTAGGGAGCTAGCATGATCATCACCACCTAGTACTCGCCTACGCACATCATCGCTGCGGACACGCTGGTGCCATCCGACACCAGCAATGCTTCGCAGACAACGATGATCAAAAACTTGAAGGCCACTCAGATCTTCAGACCGAGGGGGCCAAGTCTCACTACCATAGAGCAGAACGGCCCTCACTGTGGCCTTGTATACATGGCCTTTCAGACGAAGAGAAACTCCCTTCTGTCGCCAAAGATGACGCAGGTTCAAGAATGTAGCTCTGGCCTTTGCAATGCGTGAGCTCACGTCAGTTTCTATGCGCCCATCATTGCTGATGCAGCTGCCAAGATAAGTGAAATGATCAACCACTTCGAGTTCCTCGTTAGCAAGCGTCAAGGGGTCATCGAGTGGCTGATGGTCCTGCAGCAACACTTTGCACTTTGAAGGTGCGAAGTGCATACCAAATAATGGGCCCACTCTGGATAGGCTATTCAGGGTTGATTGTGCCGCCTCAACATTGTCGAAAAGCAAGACGATATCGTCCGCATAATCTAGATCAACTAACCGTTCACCAGGCAGCACTTCAGCGCCTACATCGCGAGATTCCGCAAGGGAGCACTCCATGATAGAATCCATGACGAAATTGAACAAAAATGGGGAAATCGAACAACCCTGTCGAACGCCACTTTTGGTCGGAAAGCTATCCGACAGGACACCGTAGACCCTGACGCGGCCTGTAGTGTTCGAGTATAGAGCACGAAGGATGTTCACATATTTCGTGGGAACACCTTTTCGCGCAAGTATTTCGAACAGAATCGATCGATCGACTGAATCGAACGCACTCTTGAAATCGAGGAACACAGCTATTGTCGGTCCGTGGTATGCGTGGCGCTGTTCTAGCACCTGCCGCAAAGTGAATATATGGTCTATACAGCCACGTCCTGGGCGAAACCGGCCTGCTCTTCCCTAATCCGGGATTCCCGTTCTGCAGTGAGGCGACGAACGATAATCGAGGCCAGTAACTTTGTCACAACTGGCGTTAGGCTAATACGCCTGTGGTTAGAACAGTCTGTGCGACTGCCCTTTTTGTATATTGCCACTATAATCGATTCGCTCCAATTAGCCGGGACACCCACTTCCTTCCAGATACATTCGAATAAGGAGGTCAGTACTTTGCGGAGAACCTCATCTCCATCCTTAAATAGTGCAGATGGGAGGGAATCCGGGCCAGCGGCACGAAAACGATTGAGGGCTGTGATCGCGTTTCGGACTTCGGCCTCTGACGGAGGCTCTAAACTAACCGTCCATGGCTCGTCATGTATCCCCTGAGTAGGAAGAGGTCCGGGAGCAGGGGGCCAGCTGAACTGACCTTGAAAGTGTTCCGCCCAACGAGCCATACGGCGCTCCTTATTGTGTATCAGTGCACCCGCGCTGTCTCTGGTTGTCTCACTGACACCTGGTTTCCTGGGTCCAGTGGTGCGTATTAGCTGGAAGAGCTTCCGGTAATTGCCTACTGCTCCTGCCTCCTCCATTTCTTGAGCCAGACTGGTCCACCAGGCTTCCTTGTCAGCACGTAGGCTCCGCTTTAGTTCACGCCTAATAGCCCGTCTGGTCACATTGTGTTCAGAGCCAGCCGGGAGGTGCCTTCTAGCTTCCAAAAGGTTCACGGACCTCTCGGATATCCAGTGACTGGTGCGATGACGACTGATAGTGCCACAAGCGGATGCTCCTGCGTCGTGCATAGTGGCCGAGATCCTATTCCACTGAAATTCAGGGTCATTAGGACAAGACAGCGGAAGTTCGATACGCAGCGCTTCTTGATAGGCTTGCCTGACCGAGGACTGAGACAATTTCTCCGTTGCCAATCGTAGGGGACGCTTGGTGCGCCTCCCGGTAAAGTTCATGGAGAAACGACAGCGTACCAAGGCATGATCAGAGTCGACACAGGTACTCCAGTACGAGCGGCAATCCAGGATGGAACCACGCCATCTGTAACTTATGGCAATGGGACCAACTTGGGTCCATCGCTGTCCAGCTACAGGAGGACACCAAGTGACACTTCGGCGCCCACTATGTCTAAAAGCAGTGTTACTAAGAAACAGCTGGTGCTCCGCACACAGTTGCAGCAGACGCTCACCATTGTCAGTCCGTTCGGAGTTAAGCCCATAATTACCACCCAGCTGACCTTCTGAAGAGCTCAGACGCCCCACTTGTACGTTCATATCCCCTACAAGTACTATAATATCTGAACTAGTGGCACTGCGGAGTATCTCGTCCAGTTCGTGATAGAATGTGTCCTTGAGAACATCTGAACTGCAGTCAGTGGGAGCATAAGCGGAAATCACAAACGAACAGCGTTTTGTTTTACTTCGCGAATTCACCTTAGCTGATGTCGTCAAACGGGCTGCACATAAGCGGCTGTTCACCGGAATCCAATCAACCAACGATGGCTCAGCCTTGGAGCTTAGAATGCTACCTACAGCAGCTTGACCTGTGAGTGCCGCATCGGCGTCTCCGGATGCGTGCAACCAATAACGAGAGGATAAGCCGGGTGCAGTTAATTCAATAACCCCGTTAGGGTCATTAATCCTAGTTTCGGACACACAACACACATCAATACCCAGTGTGTCCAAGGTGCGTGCGATTGCAGCCTGTTTGTCTTAGAGCGTGAACGTTAAATGTCACTATGGAAACGCGATAGCGTGACCTTATAAGGGACTTTTGCCGGTAGGTGCGGTGGGATGGTTGGTGCAGATGGTTCTACTCCAGTGGCACTTCGGTTGCTGTCAATTAAGCTGGGAATTATAGAAGGTTAGTAATGGGGGCCGGGATGGGAGTAAGAGAGACAGGTGGAAAAGAAAGAAGGGAGGCGCCAGCAGTAGCATGCTTTCTCTTATCCGCCCTGCTGTATGCAGCAGATAAGGCGACCCTTGATAATCTGCGCGACGGCCGATGCAGGATGAAGTCTATGTTGGAAGAAAATGTCATGGTTGTATGTGGGCTGAGATACTGTCAGGGCGCTGAGACCTAGACAAGTGGACGATTAGGGTTTTCATCCAAAGCCTTTGGCTCAAAAGCCTGTCCGCAAGGCAGCGGGGAGGTGGCAGTGATTTAGTTTTGCGGAAATGGACGCCATCCCATTTCAAACCCCCAACTTGTAGGACCAGGAGACTGAGTTTGTCTGACCTCTCACCATTGACCAACCTGGTAGGAGTAGCTCTCAAGGTGCCCGGAGGCACCACCCAGTATAGCTCAATGGGTCAATGAGATACGCAAACCGTCGCACCACGTTAAGGTCCAGTCTCGTTGCGACGGTTCCAGTCTCTTTGCGACGGGGTCCAGTCTCGATGCGATGGAGCCACATTTCATTTACGGAGCCGGCCCACACTCCTTCACAGGCAAACACAAGCACGCTGTATTTGGGGAATCAAGTGCACACAAGGCAGTGGCTGGACCGTAGTCTGCTCCACACTGAGTGCATGGAAGCGCTCTTCGAACCTGGCACGGCCATAAGGACCGTGCACACCGTCCCCTCTAGCAACGACCAACTGTCTCCTGGAGCCAGTATGGACGAGGTAGTGGGTAATAGACAGGTAGACACCTTGTCAACATGCCCATCAAGCGCAGCCACACCGGGGATATCAAGAAACAGTCAATCACTTGGGAGAAAGATAACAAAGAAAATAAATCGAGTAATGCATAAGGAACCGGTGACATGAACCTCAAATTAATAAGCATATGGAATAAGTTGTTCACAAACGAATACGAGATAAGTTCACGAGTTCGAATGGTATATTTTACGGAAATGCTACATATACGAAAATGTTTTTGAACTTAACTACAATTGGCTTCAGCGACGTGTGCAATTTTATAGAAGAGAGTATAGGTAGATATGTATATGAGAAAGAAAAGTATTAAGATAAAATTGAAAACTCACCACCTGAAATAAGGTGACTTAGCATGCAAGCACGCTATCAGTAAATCGAATGCAGCGTACCTACAAACGTTGCGCCGGTTCTGCCTACGTTCTCTGCAGGACGCATCGTCACTTCGGTAGTGGTTCCGACTGGCCCCGCTCATGGCTCACTAGGCGTGCCTGACTCAGGCACTCGCGACCGCATGTGCTACAGCACCATGTGCTCGATGTCGATGGAGTACAACCCATCGGTGCTTGCCACTTCCGCAATTGCCGTTTCTTCTCTGCATGCATGAGGTTTTTTTTCCGCACTTCGGCAACTGCTTTCACGATTAGATCGCGCCATGCACGCCAATCATCCACCTTTGATTCCCATGACCTGCAATCAAGAGTAGAACGTGAGAGGCTCACTTTGATCATGTTCTGGTGTTGTAACTTTGGTTTCCCCACATGCTGCTTCGCAATACTCAGCTGACCGTATAAGAGTTGTTTCGATATCCGCGTCGAATCCATACGGCTCACATGACCGGGCCACCTCAGGTGTCTCAGTAAAAGTATGCAGTCCACTGCATACATCCCACTTTGTCGCAACACTTCCGTGTCAGCAAATCTGTCACCCCAACTGCTGCGCAAAATTCGTCGCAGACACTGCTGATGGAACCGCTCGAGATATCGCACATCCCGCCGGATCATCATCCACGTTTCACTGCCGTATAGAAGAACGGACAGCACCATGAATTTGTACACCATCAGCTTCGTGCCAATGGTAAGCTGATGGTTGTTCCACACTCGGTACTCAGGCTTCCCGAATGCCGCCGCTGCCTTGGACACGCGGATACGCAGCTCACTGTGTATCTGCTGATCAGTCGACATCACACACCCAAGGTAGCAGAAGCGGGAGGTGGTTTCCAATACTTCAGCGCCAATGCTGGTTCGCGGCAATATTGAAGATTGCAGCTCCGGTGAAGGCTGAAAGAGACAGACAGTTTGGCTTGTGTTCATGGTGAGCCCGAATTTTGCCGCTGTCGAAGCCAGAGCAGTAGTCATTTGCTGCAACTCATCTGCGCTGTGTGCAAACAACGCACAGTCGTCAGCAAACAGCAACATACGGATAGTTGTCTCACAGACTAGAATTCTCACACTGAAACGATGGATGTTCAGCAACCCACCATCAATATGGTGCTCCACACGAACATCATCATCATCATCATCAACAGCAGTACATCAGCCATTTGAACTGATGCTTCGCTGCCATACAACCATGAGGACCTATGAAATAAAGAATAAGAAGAGGGAGAGAAGGGGGACTTACCTGAAAACCTTAATGCCCTAAGCAAACATTCAGGATCAAGACGCCTACACATTGTGTTAACAACATTCCGTCACAAACAGCTGGCTATCGTGCAAAGATAAGGTGGCATCGGCGAGACAGCTTCCTTGCGGCTTTCACTGTCACGCGTCATAATCAGCCATTATCCCGCAGATAACTCAGCACCAAACACACTTTAAACAGACAATCCGATTAGGAGACGGCAGCACACGCGCCACTGGTGTCGGTTGCGAGCCATGTCCTGTAAAGTCTCGAGCCAAGCACAAGGTGAGTCGCTTGAACTCCAGCCCGGAAGGCGAGACGGACCAACGGCACCCAGTTTGGTCGTCAGTGACTTCATTTCCCGCTGCCAAGTCAACTTCTGTCCACCTCGAGCCTTGCGCCATCCGACACCTGGTAGACTGAACAAGGCCCTCCTAGGTAAGCGGTGACCAGGCATGCGTAGCATGTGCCCGAGCCAACGTAACTTATTCAGTGCTATCTGCTGTTCTAGGGAGCTAGCATGATCATCACCACCTAGTACTCGCCTACGCACATCATCGCTGCGGACACGCTGGTGCCATCCGACACCAGCAATGCTTCGCAGACAACGATGATCAAAGACTTGAAGGCGCCTCAGATCTTCAGACCGAAGGGGCCAAGTCTCACTACCATAGAGCAGAACGGCCCTCACTGTGGCCTTGTATACATGGCCTTTCAGACGGAGGGAAACTCCCTTCTGTCGCCAAAGATGACGCAGGTTCAAGAAGGCAGCTCTGGCCTTTACAATGCGTGAGCTCACGTCAGTTTCTATGCGCCCATCATTGCTGATGCAGCTGCCAAGATAATTGAATTGATCAACCACCTCGAGTTTCTCGTTAGCAAGCGTCAAGGGGTCATCGAGTGGCTGATGGTCCTGCAGCAACACTTTGCACTTTGAAGGTGCGAAGTGCATACCAAATAATGGGCCCACTCTGGATAGGCTATTCAGGGTTGATTGTGCCGCCTCAACATTGTCGAAAAGCAAGACGATATCGTCCGCATAATCTAGATCAACTAACCGTTCACCAGGCAGCACTTCAGCGCCTACATCGTGAGGTTCCGCAAGGGAGCACTCCATGATAAAATCCATGACGAAACTGAACAAAAACGGGGAAATCGGACAACCCTGTCGAACGCTACTTTTGGTCGGAGAGCTATCCGATAGGGCACCATAGACCCTGACGCGGCCTCTAGTGTTCGAGTATAGAGCACGAAGGATGTTCAAATATTTCGTGGGAACACCTTTACGCGCAAGTATTTCGAACAGAATCGATCGATCGACTGAGTCGAACGCACTCTTGAAATCGAGGAACACAGCTATTGTCGGTCTGCGGTATGCGTGGCGCTGCTCTAGCACCTGCCGCAAAGTAAATAAATGGTCTATACAGCCACGTCCTGGGCGAAACCGGCCTGCTCTTCCCTAATCCGAGATTCCCGTTCTGCAGTGAGGCGACGAACGATAATCGAGGCCAGTAACTTTGTCACAACTGGTGTTAGGCTAATACGCCTGTGGTTAGAACAGTCTGTGCGACTGCCCTTTTTGTATATTGCCACTATAATCGATTCGCTCCAATTAGCCGGCACACTCTCTTCGTTCCAGACACGTTCGAATAAGGAGGTCAGTGAAGCAGCAGCAAATTGGGTGTTGCCCGCCTGAAACCACTGCACTCCATGACGCGTTTCGAGGTTATTTCCTCTCATCAGATAGAGATAGCAGGCATCGAACCCGGGACCATTAAGATGTTAGTTGTGACCGCCACCCCTAAGCCACCGGGTCACGATGGGCAAAGCTTGGCACAACGGCAAATAATAGATAGGAAAGTGAATTTGAAGTACACGTTGTGTGGATGGATTGCGACGCGCAATCTCAAAGTAGACCGCGATTCCCATTGAAGTGAACCTTGGCCATTCGATCACTAGGACCGTAGCTGATGAAGCAGCAGCAAATTGGGTGT